TAGAATTCTTTAATTAGTTGGCTCTCTCTAGCCTATTCCCCACAGAGGATGAAACAAACAAACAAAAAAGATGCAAAAGGCTAGCACCTGCAGGCTTCATGTGCTAAGACTGAATAAAACATAGGCACTGAGAGAGTCCTCAAAGCACATGAAGATGAAATAATGCAGCCAGGAAGCTTAACAGAGAGTCTGCCAATAGGAAGAGTTTCCAGTGGCTTAAGTGTTTGGACAGTTAAATTATGACTGAGGAAATATTAGAATAAAATGTGTATTTAACTCCCACTGCAGGGTTGACCTGACACACCAAAAACTGACTTGTGTTGAGGAGAGCAGAGTAGAAGTAATTCTATCAGGTCAGTTTGGGTAATTTTAATTTTCTCTTTGAACAATTATCTTCAGACAAGTGACTTGCTCTACCATAATTAAACTGAACTTAAATTCCCTGTAATCCCAGCACTTTGAGAGGCCAAGGTAGGCGGACACCTGAGGTCAGGAGTTCAAGACCAACCTGGCCAACATGGTGAAACCCCGTCTCTACTAAATATACAAAATCATCCAGGTATGGTGGCACATGCCTGTAATTCTAGCTACTCAGAAGGCTGAGGCAGGAGAATCCTTTGAACCGGTGAGGCAGAGGTTGCAGTGAGCCAAGATCACGCCACTGCATTCTGGCCTGGGTGACAGAGAGAGATAGTCTTAAAAAAAAAAAAAAAAAAAAAAAATCAAGGTCGAACATTAGATTTATCTTTATTTTCAATGAATTATCCACTTGAGTCCAGGAGTTTGAGACCAGCCTGGGCAACATAGCAAGACCCATCCCTACAAAAAATTAAAAAATTATCCAAGCATCGTGGTGTTCACTGTGGTCCCAGCTACTCAGGAGGCTGAGGTGGGAGGATCACTTGAGCCTGAGAGGTTGGGGCTGCAGTGACCTGAGGTAATGCTACTGCACTCCAGCCTGGGTGACACAGTGAGACCCTGTTTAAAAAAATACACACACACACACACACACACACAAACACACACATGTACATATATGTAATCTCCATTAGTAGTAGTAGTAGAAATGTTTTTAATTTCTGTTATAGGATGTCAGAAAATATTCATTATGACATTAATTTCATTATTTAAAAATATAGTTTTATAATCAACTACATTTAATAAATAACACAATTTTTAAAAATGAGAAAAAGTATAAAAACAATTTTTTTTACCATTTTAAGAATTTAGTTTAATACTGTTATGCACATTCAAATTAATTTGTAAGCAATCTCCAATTAATAATTGCTTAAAATATTGCTTTAATATTTTAAGCAATTTCTTAAAATATTAAAATATACGTATACACAAAGATTCTAAGATTGTAATTTTTGAGAACCCCCAAAAGTTTCGAGCCTTTTAAATTTTTACAGTATGTTCTATTTTTGTCTTACATGTACTTCTTGCTCAAATTATACAAAAATTTGTTCTTTGTTTTTACAAATACTGGCTGGTGAATCATATGGTGATATACTGGGATTTGAACATTACCTTATTTTTTTCTATTCCTCCGATAAGCACTCTAACAAGCAGCAAAGTGGTCAAATGTAAAACACTTAAACGAAGAAGAAAATTCTGGAAAAGGAACACCCTGGGTCGTTTATTTCTGAATAACTGAGAGTTGGTGCATGTTCATTACATTTTCTGAGTGGTCTACAGGGACTCTCTTGTCTTTGCGTACACTAAGCCCACTGTTTGAAATGCTCTCTAGTTTTAGGGAAACTCCACTGGTTAAATAAAAATACAAGCTGATTTCTCAGTTCATATAACAAAAATAATGTGTGCTGTCCCAGGTTCAGGTGTTCTGGGTTTTTTAAAAATATGCAGTAAATTTGATAATTAACTTTTGGATAAGAAAGCATGCAGGATATAGAACACACTTCAGGAAGAAAAAAAGGACGTGTGGTGTTAGCTGAATGGGAAGGCTGCCCAGAACATGTCCCCTGCTATAAGATTAGTTTGGGAATTAGGGATTTACAGTGCTTACCCCCATCTAGAGAAGACTTGGCAATATTCCTTAGGACTGCAAAGATAAATTGGTGGGAGTGAAAGAAATAAGTAAAGGCCAGGAGCTGCTGGAAAGCAGCCTTTCCTGTCACTAAGCCGTGATGTTGTAAAGAGTTCTGAAGTCAACTTTGAGATCCTAGCCTGGGCAGAGAAAGTTTCTACATGTTAACAGCAACAACAACTGGCCAGTTGTCTCCCCACATGGTCAGGGTGAGAAACATACTATAAAGCTCCACTACCGAAGAGGAAGTGGATTGAACCTAAGGGATGGTGGGGTCATCCACTCAGCTTCTTGCCGAAGATCTCCATGGCGTATCTTCTCACATAGTGTCCTGCTTCCGGCGGAGTCTTGAGAATAAGGATGGATGATGATGACGACGAGAATGAATAAGGATGGTGAAATCTGGAATGGTCTAGTTGTCAATATTTTAATGTAGCCAACATAGGTAATTTACTGTTGGTCACCTTTCTTTCTTCCTTATTCCACTGTTTTCAGTTCTCTTCATTCATGCCTTCTTTATTTTCTTCCTCTTCTCTTTTAACTTTCTGTCCTTCTTTATCTCTTTCCCTCTCCCACCTCCTATAGCCTAGAAAAGGTTCAGCCAGCCAAAACAGCCTGAATTTCCTCAAGCCAAAGACATTCCTTTTGTAGTGCTTTTCTTGGAAATATAAGAAAAGGAAACGAAAACGAAAATAAAGACTCAAACTCCGAAACTACATAGTTGCCAGTTTGATCCCGGCTCTCCTGACTGCCAACCTCCTCAGTTTGCTGTTTCTCACCACTCAGAAACATAGATTTCAGTCTTCTGGGATTATTATTTCTTCTTCTTCCTCTTCCTCCTCCTCCTCCTCTTCTTCTTCTTCTTCTTCTTCTTCTTCTTCTTCTTCTTCTTCTTCTTCTTCTTCTTCTTCTTCTTCTTCTTCTTCCTCCTCCTCCTCCTCCTCCTCCTTCTTCTTCTTTCTTCTTCTTCTTCCTGACATCATAGCTGAAGTGTAAAGGAAATTTGTGTCTTCTCAAGCAATAAATGCAGGGATCGTATCTGCTTATACTGAAAAATACAGCATGCTACTGAAGGAAAAATCTATTAAATGCTTTATAAATGTTCAGTGCAAAGATTTCTATGGATATATATTTTTTTAATTTTCCAGGTAACATCATTCGTATGGAAGTAGTTTATATTGAAGTCATTGTTGATCACAATAGACTCTTTTAAAAGTATTATCTTTGGTATATTTAAGTCAGGTGTTTCTCTGGCTCAAGAATTGAACTACCTTGCAATGAAATGTATATAATGTCAGCCTGGGATTGAGTCCTGGACTCTGGTCATCTTCCTTCAGTCAACTCAATATGTAATTTCAGTGAGTTTTAAACCCCATAACCTCTCAGTGCTAAATGTCAAAGAAGGCACAGACAGACCTCATACACTGATACCTGGAATAGGCCCAATGGCCCAATGACAAATAGGACTGGATTTGTGTGACTATGGCACAGCATGAATTTCCTTAGATGCAAGCAAGAGGAAATTATGAGAGCTGATGTGCCCTCTGCCAACTCCTACCACTAAAAACAGGATAAAAGGCAGATCTGTGTTAAAATATCTCATCTTCAGCTCTTCACCCCATATAGGGTTTCCAGATAAAATAGAGGCTGTCCAGATACATTTGAATTTTATATAAACAGTGATGGATATTTAGTATAATTTGTCCCATGCAATATTTGGTCCATACTTATGCTAAAAATGTTATTTATTGGAAAATCAAATTTAACTTGACATCTTGTATTTTTTTCTTTACTAAATCTGGCTATCCTACAACTCTCTCAACTATTCCCTTATCCTACTTTGCCGTCTTTGCATTTATCATACTGTCTGGTATAACTGTTTATTCAGTTTTTACTAGGTTATTGTCTATGTTCCAGCACTGAAATATTAGCTCTATGGAAGTGAAAATGTTTCCATTTTATCTCTTGATGGAACTGTAGCACCTAAAACAATGTCAGCACATAGTAACTGCTCAATAAATGTTGAATTAATTTATTGAATGAATGAATGAATGAAACATCTATATCAAAACCATGTTGCTGGTCCATCTATTCTGCAAAAAGTTCATATGGATAATTAAAACTACAATATTTACTGTTTGTCTTTACTTTTGATTTCTTCTTTTTCTCATCAGATTGCAAACTTTTCAAAGATATGAATGATGCTAATATTTACATATTGAGTACTTACTATGTGCCACCATTCTGAGTCATGCACACTTAATACTCACAAAAACCTTATGAAATAAGTACAATGTTTACTCCCACTTTGGTAATTAGAAAAATGAAGCTGAGCATATAATTGTGTTCAAAATAAGCCTATGATGAAGCAAGTCTTGAGACTTCATTTAAAACTGTTTATGTGTTAAAATATTTTCTTAGTGTGTATTTTATGTTGTTATATCTTATAGTAATGGTAACTTAGCAAACACATAAACAATATTCTTGTTTTTTATAAGAATGTGGTTTTTTTTACAAATTCTGGCAAAAAAATAGGAAAGAAAAATTACCAGCAAACAACTAACTTAAATTAATCTTTGCTAAACAATTAAAAGCAATTTATTATTACATTTTTCAGAGATGAAATTGTATGGATTTTATAATTATTTTTTATGCACAGATTTTACATAATTAACATAGTGTTAAAGAGTACGCTTTCCCAAGAGTTTTCATTCTGAGTTTCACTGGTGCAATTCTACATACATTCAGAGAGAATGAGAAGAGAGGGCAGCAGTATGTTTTCTTATGTTATTCAATCTCTTTTAGGCTTCCGTCCAAACCAAGCAACTAAAATGAAACATAGCTTCCCTTCTCAAGAGGGTTTCACTTGTTCCTTTTCTTGCCTCATTCCCTCTACCTCTTGCCTTTCCTCCTGTGCTTTTTTGACTTTCCTCCTCTTTCCTTCCACCCACAGGCACTTTTGAAACGGCCTCCGATGGGAAGGTGAGATCAGAAATACGCCTGTGGAACCCTCTACATGCGGATCTGGCAAGTATTCAACACAAACGCAATTAGAGGGCTTACCCTTGCATGAAATATTTGCTTTCCTGATAGTCACCAACTTTAAACTTTAGGAATGCCAAGGCATAGTGTTTCTGTATCAGAACTGGAATCCTCTACTTCATTTTCTTCAGTTATTATTTTTGAAGTTTGCATATAGTATTAAAGTCCCACCAAACAATAAATGGGAAAGGATGATTTTATTAAAAATCCTCTTGAGACAACTGCACCTGCCCTGGCTATTCTTTGACCAGGGTCAGAGAAGTTGCAGCATGCACACTCACCCAGAGGTACTTGAGAGCATTGTTGATGTATTCAATGAATATTGAATGCTAGAGTGAATCTACACTGGGCTTAGATCAGCATAAATCTCCACAGCTCACCTTCAGTGGTGGACACAGACAACTAAACAGGAAATTCCAAAATCATTCATAAAAGAACCTGATCTTCTGTACCCCTCCCTCTCCCAAAGTTGCCACAAATAAAGGAAAACTAAATAAGAATATTTGTTTTACTTTGAGCAAGATGAAAATATTTCAAAGGCACACATTTGGTCAGCTCATTGATTCTTATAAAGAAATATCTATATATACCATGTATTATATAGTTAAGTATTTAAGTTCTGAAACCCGAAGAAAGTTGTAACTGTTTTTTTTTTTTTTCTTTCACCCTAAATAAGTTAAAAATGACTGTAGTGTTATATAGTCATTGAGGTCAGTCAACATTTTTTATTCTGTTTGGAACTTAATTGTTGTAGCCTATTCCTGCTGCTGTAATAAAATACCACAGACTGGGTAATTTCTAAACAATAGAAATGTATTTCTCACAGTTAAGGAGGCTAAGAAGTCCAAGATCAAGGTGCCAACAGATTTGGTGTCTGGTGAGGGCTGCTATCTCTGTTTCAAGGTGGTGCTTTGTTGCTGTGTCCTTACACGGTGGAAGAGCAAAAGTGAATGCACCCATTTTCTGATGCCCTTTAATGAGGGCTCTCATCCCATCTCAGGATCTGCTCTCATGACTTTATCACTTCCTACAGTCTCTACCTCTTAACACTACCACATTAGAAATTAAATTTTCACACATAAATGCTGGAGAACACATTCAGATTATAGCACTAGTCTATAAGTAGATAAGTAGAAGGTATACAATAAATAATATTTTTTTTTTCAAGATGGAATCTCTTTCAGTTGCCTAGGTTGGAATGCAGTGGTGTGATACTGTAACATCCACCTCCCAGGTTCAAGCAGTTCTCCTGCCTCAGCCTCCTGAGTAGCTAAGATTACAGGTACCCGCCACCATGCCCAGCTAACTTTTTTGTACTTTTAGTAGAGATGGGGTTTCACATGTTGGCCAGGCTGTTCTTGAACTCCCAGCCTCAGTGATCTGCCCATCTCGGCCTCCCAAAGTGTTGGGATTATAGATATGAACCACTGCACCTGGCCCACCATCAATAATTATTAAATTGACATTCTAATCATAAAGTATATAATGCAAAGATACATTATGCAGTATTAAAGTATATGCAGAAGTCCTTGATCTTCTTCAAAATAGAGAATAAAGTAACTTTTATTGAGTGTTCAGGATGTGTCAAATATATTCTAAGGATTCTGCAAACATTAAGTCATCTAGTCTTTAGATAACTCTGTGAGATAAGGAAACACTTTACGGATAGAAAAACTGAGGCTTGGAAAGATTAATATAATTGCCCCAGATTACACCTAGTAAGGAGTCTATATTAATTACTTGTACCTGCTGTAACAAATTAACACAAACTTGGTGGATTACAAAAACAAATTTATTTTCTTCAATTATTGGAGGTCCGGAGTCTGAAAATACTATCACTGCCAAAATCGAGGGTGACAGGGCCGCGCTATCTCCAGAGGCTCTAGGAGAGATTCTGATGCCTGCCTCTTCCAGTTTTTGGTGGTTTCTAGTATTTTTTGGTTTGTGGACACATTACTCTCATCTTCAAGACCAGCGTCTTCAAATTTCTCATCACTTAATTGAAAGGGTTTGGCTGTGTCCCCATCCAAATCTCATTTTGAATTGTAGTTCCCATAATCCCCGGATGTCATGGGAGGTATCTGGTGGGAGGTAATTAGATCATGGAGACAGTTTCCGCATGCTGTTCTCATGATAGTGAGTGATTTCTCAGAAGACCTGATGGTTTTATAAGGGGCTTCCCCCTTGGCTTGGTGCTCATTCTTCTCCTTCCTGCCACCATGTGAAGAAGAACATATTTGCCTTCCCTTCCGCTGTGATTGAAAGTTCTCTGAGGCCTCCTCAGCCATGCCGAACTGTGAGTCAATTAAACCTCTTTCCTTTATAAATTGCCCAGTCTCCAGTATCTCTTCATTAGCAGCATGAGAACAGACTAATATGTTTATCTTCATATCACCTTCTCTGTGATGTGTGTGTCTAATCTCTCTCTGTGTCTCTCTTATAAAGACACTCTTGATGGCATATATTAGTTTGTTAAGGTAGCCATAACAAAGTATCAAACTGGGTAGTTTACACAACTGATATTTGTTTTTTCAGTTCTGGAGGCTGGACGTCCAAACTGAAGGTGTGGAAAGGTTTGGTTTCTTCTGAGGTTTCTCTTCTTGACTTGCAGAAAGCTGTCTTCTTGCTGTATCCTCACAAGATCTTTCCTCTGCCTAACCCGATCCCTGGTGTCTCTTTATGTGTGCTAATCTTCTCTTCTTATGAGGACACTTGTCAGATTAGGTGCCTACCCAACCACCTCATTGAAACTTAGTTATCTTCTTAAAGGCCTTCTGTCCAAATACAGTCATAATCTGAAGGACAAAGATTAGGATTTTACCATATGAATCTGGGGGAACACAATTCAGCCTATAAAAGAACCTGATAGGTTTATCCAGAATAATACTCTCATCTCAACAGCCTTAATTTAATCACCTCTGTGGAAACTTTACAAGGTAACTTCACTGGTTTCCAGGGATTAGGACCTTATATCTTTTGAGGGCCATCACTCAACTCAACACAGGGTAAACCTCGGATTAAACAGGCAGACTGCGTCTTGGGCCTCTGACATTTACCACAAGAATATACCTCATGTACGATAGGTAACTTTTGTCTAGCTACATAGAAAACACTATGGATAAAAATGTTAACAAAATGATAGACTATGATAAAACACAAGCTAGACTAAAATAAAAATACATATATATGCATATGTATACATGTATGTTTAGTGTGTGTGTGTTTTTTTTTGTGTGTGTGTGTGTGTGTGTGTGTGTATGTATACTAGACATTTTAAGAAAGGGAGAGAGAAAATGAAACTGGTGTTTTTGGAGGGATAGTTGTCCTGTGGTTTGGAGTGTGGTGTAAATAGACACCTAGATTGGAGTCTAGGATGGCAAGTAGGAAACTATTACAGTAGTTTATTCACAAAATGGTAAGGACCTGAGCCAGGGTAATGGTGAGGGGAGAGGAAAGCTTGGGCAGGAGAAATGAAAGAAATGCCAAAACCTGTGACTGAGTGGGTCAAAAGGACAACAGAGACAGAAAAATGTTCACCCCTTCAACAACATTTATAAGCACCATCTGGATGCCATCCATTGCTTGGATTCAAATACGGAGAGTTAAATCACATTTCTTCAAAAAGTACATAGTGTAATGAAAAATGAGAGCAAATAAACAAATGCTTAAAATAGGGTGTGATGAGAACTCCATGCAGGAACACAGTATAAAAGCACTGCATGGAATGGGTGTGTACATCAGGAAAGGGGTTTTATGTTAGGTTCTTCCAGAAGCCAACTCAAAGATTTCATTTCAAGTAAAAGGTGAGATGAATAACTACAACTAGAGCAATAGGGAAATGAGTAGGGGGAGAGAGGGAAGCCAATGAAGGATTAATTTTCAAGCAAGTTATCAGTGTGGGTAACTGGAGCTCAGCCTTGCCAGAGAGCTCTGTGGGGAGCCAGTGCAGAACATATTCAGAATTATCTCACCCCGGGGTGAGGGAGCTAGAAGATTTCTGTATGAGAGTCACAATGAAAAACTAGAAAACGTAGTGGTAATTGTCATAGAGATACCATAGGATCTGGCTAAAGAACAAAACTCAACTTTCACATTTAAGTCTTAATTTAGTAGCCCTAATTAAGATTTCAGTAATAGGGAAATGTTTCTATTTTATATCATCAGAGAAGAAAAAGATTTGGTTAATACTTAGAATGCATCAGAAACATTCAACGGAATAATTACATATTGATGTCATACAGAGTATCCACCTCTCAGCATGAAGCGTGTATATGTTTTTTTCTGGGTCCCTAAGAGGCTCCATACACGGGATCTGCACTTGCCACCTTCTATAGTTCAGAATTCTAATTCCTACAAATGAGTTGACTGTGCAAATAAGGCAGCATGTCTCTGTATTAACATTCATTTCTCTTTTACTTCATTTCTTTATAGGTTTCATAGAAATCTGTTTTTTTTTTTTTTTTTGAACGAAGGACTATTCCACAATATGACAACCACAGCTTTAAACTGGATTTCTATAGTCATAGGAATAAAACAAAATGCACCGAGCTTATAGAGACAGCTCTTGATTTCCACCTGAGCTTGTTTTCCTTGCAGCAGTCTAGATTATAAATCACTCAGAACTTCCCTACATAGGCGTCTCCCTTCACCGTGACTTCCCACTCCCTTACACTGTGTGCACTTCAGTGCCTTATCAAACTCTTAGAGTGCTAACCCATCAGGAATCTTATCACCTGCAGTTTTTATGGACTGTTCAATAATGAAAATAGAGAGGAGTTTGAACTCCTTGACATGGAAACCTTCAAGAAGCTATGGAATGTGGTCACTGGTATTTCTGGTATCTTTTAAATGTCAAGAGAGCAGAATTTCTCTTGTCAGTTGTCACAGCAAGGCTAACAATTAAAGCCATCTGCTCTTCATTTCACTCCCCAAGGGCTTCTTTCATTTTTCATCAACTTCCTGTTGTTGACAGCAGAGTTCCTCCCAATTTCTCTCTGAAACTGTGAGGTCACCACGAGGCTCAGGCCATTCCGTGAACTGCTGATTTGACTCCAACCCCCAGAATGCCCTTTGGCCCAGGAGCTCCAGCCTCCAGTAACTGGGACCCCAGGCAGATCCAGATCAGGAAGAATGTCAGCCTTTCCCTAACAATGTGATGAGGGCAGTGGGATGCCCATGCCAGAACCTGCATCATGGCAGATCCAGCTTGACTTGGAACCTTTTCCTTTAATAAAAATACAGAAGGAAAGGAAAAGAAGAAATAGGAAAAGAATAAAGGAAGAAAGGGAAAGAGGGAGGGAGGAAAAAAGGAAAGGAGGGAGGGAGGAAGAAGGGAAAAATGAACAGGAAGAAAACAGAAAAAAGGGAGAAAACAGGGAAGGAAATGGAAAGGTAGGGAAGGAAAGGGGGAAGGGAAAAAAGGAAAGGGAAGGGAAGAGGTAAGGAAGGAAAGAGGGAATGGAAGACATAAGGGAAGTAAAGAAGGAAGAGAAGGGAAGGAAAGGGAGGGAGGAAGGGAAGGAAGGGAATGGGAGGGGAGGGGAGGGAAGGGGAGGGGAGGGGAGGGAAGGAAAGGGAAGGGAAAGGAAGGGAAGGGGAGGGAACTAAGAAATCTCAAAGGTGAACTAACTACAATGATTCAGACCAATGATTTTGCTTATTAATGTATTTAAAGGAGATCTTTGTTGTTGTTACTGTGAAAGTGCCACAAAACGATAAGAAAAGTAATCCCATTGCTGAGAAAAAAAACATACCACAGTTCTGGGCATAGAGTTGTTTTTCTGCCTGATATCCAAGGTCATTAGATATGGTTGATAT